TGTCACATAACTTTGCCGACATGTGGCCAACAGTAATGTTTTAATGTTCTTCGTTATTAAACATTCGCACATAAATAAGTAACATAATATTCAGTACTTACTTTTAAAAGTTTACTCTTCGGCCGCCCCTGTCCCGCCGGTTTTTTTTCCGGCAAAATTATCCACACCCACCGCTGCGCTATGCATTCTGGGATATGTTGGGCCACGAAGTCTACACCGCCACGTCCTTAAAATTCAGTGAAATGAAGGACGCATTTGAGGGACGCCTTTGAATTGGGACAGCCTTCGTCGCGTTGCTGTGACGTAATTGGCCTTTAAGGCTGCAGACCCTGAATTGGGATACAGCCAAGTTCTACAGTCTTGCTAATGACCTACTAATTGTCTTCAGGTGTGCTGCAATAGGGACACATGGAAAAGTTTCAGGACAGCGGCTCTCAAGGACTAGAGTTTGAGACCCCTGATATAAATGATTGGTCATTGGTCAGTGTGTTGTGCCTCAAGCTTTTGTACTAGTAGTTTATCTTTCTGTTGCAGAGTGCCAGCAGCTGATTGGCTGGTGTTTGTGCCAGCAGCCATCCGACCGGCCAACCCTGGAGCAGATCTTCCTCCACCCTTGGTTGATGGGCAGCAGGGCTCAGCGAACAGACGAGGCGGCCATCACACTTGATGCTGTTAAAGATAACACCTCCTGCTCCTCCTTGAATCCATCTTCCTCCTACTCCCCTCCGAACCAGTAGAATCTCATGGTGGGCATGGTTTGGACTTGACTGACAGCTGTCCTTCAGTCTCTATGACTTCATGTCGGTGGGAGTTGTTCACAGTTGTGGATGAAGTTTGCTGCTGTGGCGCAGCTTTGTGCTGCGTTAAAAGTGCCTTGAATTTGTTTATTTAAAGCTGCTATGGGGAAAGTGTCATTCATTGGCAAAAACCAGACTGCAAAGGGAGAGAATCTCTAGACGTTGAGCCAATGAAAACATTTTTGAACATCTGGTTAAATTCTGCTGTGTGGAGCCACATCAGGGCAATGGAACATCTAATCGTCTGTAAGGCTGCAGGGGATTTTAAGTCTTCCAGATATATCAAGTAAGTCTGCAATGTAACACTTTTTTTGTTTGTTTGTTTGTTTGTTTGTTTGTTTCTATGGTTAAACAATCATCTGGACAGTCGGTTTTTCAGTTGATTGGGTTTTTTTTCTCGCAGGGCTGATTTTACTTAAAATGTGTCCACATCCAGTGTGCTTGACAGGGAATACCTGCAGTCAACCTCATCTGTTTGTCAGGGTATAAAATGCACAGTCAATGCAAATATTGTGTTTTTTATTTTGAAAACATGCATTTTTGTTATATGTATATACTTTTGTATGCATTTATTGTATTTTGTAAGTTATCTTCATTATTGTTTTTTAAAATATTTTATTTGTTGACATTTTGAAATGTAGAATCCTGGCAGGAAAGGTTTTGTCATGGACATTATTCCAATTAAACTTTTTTTAAAAAAATTTTTTTTTATATAGAAGCAGACAATATTGGTCTCAATTCTTTTCACTATACTACACAGCTTTTCCCTGTCACAGCTGCCACCACCAGTACTCTGACTCAGTCTTTCTCTATTAATAGCTGTCAATCAGGGTCAAGGCCCTCATAATGTAGGTATGATCAGCTTTGAAGAGCAGAACTGTCTACAGGAACACTTATGGCAAGCCAAATATAATAATAAGTTTGTTTAATACTCTACACACAAGCGCGACGGCCAGCAGTAATGTTGGCCACTCATGTAGGTTATGTTGTACGGCTCTGCAGAAACGTGTAGTTATGTAAAAATATGGCAACTGTTTTACTTTACGTGCTGGAAAGTTAAAAGTTGACAACTGCCGGACAGGTGCCAATCTCTCCTCCACATGGTTAATTTTTATGTGACTGAATAACAAATAGGTAAAGGTTAAAAACACTTTTTTAACTTAAAGAAATCCTACACAGTCCTACTCTGTGCAAACCAGGATTTGCATGTAGCCGGAGTTTACCATTGCCTGGTATATACCCTCTTAGTATGTTACCGGAGCCCAGTATGTCTCTCCTGAACCAGGGGAAGTTGTCGGAGGGCTGGTGCCGTGGAACATCACGAGGATGTGTCCATGCTGCCCGCATCTCCAGCACTTCTGCCCTGACAATTGCACAGCTTCTGAATAGCCGAGCACAGTTTCTGTGGCTGCTGGGAACTGTGGAGAGACAATGCATTAATCAAAGGAAATGGCTGTTGCTCAGCAGAACCTTGAGAAACCTTGTTAAGGCCAGGTCTGCCTGACTTCCTGCCGCTGGCCTCGGCTGCTCCCGCGATGGAGCTTGCCGCGCTGCCGGATGGTCCTCAGCCAGGGTCACGGCAATCTCAAGGCTCGAGGACCGGTGACAGCGGATTCACTTTGCTGTCCCAGCCAGGAGCCCCTCCATGAATTACTCCAGAACCACTATGTTCAGCACGAAAACTTGTCGCGGGGTAGGGTCAGGCTGCAGAAGATCTAAAGTAAAGCGTAAAAATTCATCTTTACGCTTTCTTCCTTGAAGGCTTTATGAGTTTTTGTACATGTGCGTCTGTGTGTTTAAGTGTGCAAGTAAATGAGTGAGTTTGTTTCTGCAAGCCTTTAAAGCGAAATGTGGTGGCTGCAATGTTGAGAAGCAAGTATATTAGCATTCTGAAGTTTGCCCTGTGCTTTGATGCAAAGTTTTTGTGTTGAGGGTATGTTGGTGTACATGTTAATCAATATTAACAATTATTCAGTGTCCAAGTTCAAATCCCTCAGGTCAGTGGCTCAGTTTTACTGACCCATGTACATTTTTATTGGCTTGTCATTTTTAATTTTTTTTTTAGAAAAGATATTTTTAAATATTAACGCAATTTAATCGAGTCAGTATTTTATAATATTTCACTTTCAGTCTGAAAAATGTTATGAAACTACAAACCTATAACAACTCCGGTCACAAGACTGAGACAGTTAAGTGTGTTCTTCTGTCATGCAGACAATCCATGAGAAAAAGGAAAGAAATGATGGAAACTGAGTCAAGGACATAATGTACAACGTAGAAGTGGCGTACAGTGATTTAGTAAGTGCAGCACTATTCAGTTTTCTTCAGAGGTAGCAAAAGTGCAGACATTCTGTACATTTATTAGAAGTACAGATACTTATGTTATAAATACTGTAAAAGTTAAAGTACTGATTTTACTGCTTTACTCAATGAAAAGTGAAAAAGTGCAGCCTCTGAAATGTACTCAAAGTAAGAAAGTAAAAAGTAGTCTTTTAAGGCCATTTGTAGGCTACCAGTTATTATTGTGCAAAGCCAACTGAATCCTGTATTAATATGATAAAATTATATTAGTACAAAGGAATATAAACTTTCAGTCTTAATATGCTCTATGCTAAACAGTATAAAACTGGTATGAAGGTGGAATTCAGTGAATGAATCTACATGTCGTCACCAAAAATGTAAAATAATTTCCAATTCCCTTCATTTAACCTACCAATGACCAAGAACATCACAGCTTCTGTTCACCAGTCCGACACAGTACAGCAAACCAACCTATTTATCCTGCATTAAACTGCACAGTATTTTCATGCAGCCTTTCAATAATACAAAGTTACTAAGCTATACCTCAGTTTGTTTTGCAGGATGTTTCACAATATGAAAAAAACATATTTTAATGTCATATAAAGAGCAAATATCTTATTTTTAAAAAATGAGGATTTACATGTAAGCTTTAAATTTCCCCCTTATCAAATCCCACTGGCTAGGCCTTAATTTTAAATACAACTTCTCTTCTTCCTATCCTGTCCTGACTTTCTTATCTTTTTCCATCTCTGAGTAAAGTTAAGTTTAGCAGCACATACACCTTTAGCTAGCAGACACACTGTGTGAGAAACAAACAGTCTGTGTCTTTGTTGAGCTGACATAAACCTTACATTTGAAAATACTTACACTTACAAAATGTTACCCCCTTTGTACATGCTTCTCTTCTATAGAGCTAGGTAGATGCTGAAGTACCGCTAACCCCTGGTGATTGACACACCATTAGGACTTCCTTTCATGTTTTACTGTGTTGGCTCAAATCAGTTTAATGTTTGAAGGCCCGCTGTGGTATGGAATTAAAAATCACTTCAAATATGTTAAACCAAAAGTAGTCTATTTTGAAAATGAAATGAGTAGAAAGTACAGATATTTGTGTGAAAATGTAGGAGGAAAAGTAACGTTTTCAGAAAAATAAATACTCAAGTACAATTTTCAGGTATCTATACTTTACTTAAGTACATTAACGAAATATTTGTACTTCGTTACTTCCCACCTCTGGCGACATAAGAGGATCAAGAAGCAAAATGATTGGCTAGTGACCTTAAATGATTCGACAATCCTACAGGAGGCAGCAATGCACCATCCTGGATGCCAATTGCCGTTAAGCACCAAAGAAGAAGAAGAAGAGGCGGAAGGACGAAAAGAAGAAAAGAAGAAGAGCCTTTTCACAGTCGACAACAGCAAAGCCCACGTGAAAGTAAGTGAATCTGGATGTCGTGAACCAGTCTTTGTGTTTTTACGTGTTTGTGTAGTATGTACTTGAATTTAATTCACACAAAGACGCTAACCTACCTTCAAACAACAAGGACGGACAGCCATGCAGCGGGTCTTCTCCTGTAGTAAACGAAATCCAAATGCAACAATACTCAAGAAATACAGCCTGTGTTATACAGACAGCTTCCATTATAGCGATAATACCTCTAAAAGTATAGGGGCCATTGTGACTGTGTGTTTTCCTTCAGAGGGGTCATAGGTCAATATGGGTCGGTCCTCCAAAGACAAACGAGACATTTACTATCGACTGGCCAAAGAGGAGGGCTGGAGAGCGAGGAGCGCCTTCAAGCTGCTGCAGCTCGATCAAGAGTTCAACTTGTTCACAGGTGAGACCCATAGGTCACCTGAGAAAGACTTTTATCAATAGTTCAGTATATGTATAATATGTAGAAAAAGGGTTCTTTAGAAAACCCTGATGTGACTTTTTCATGATATAAAATGATTTAGTATTGAGATGTTTTGTCATGAGCTTAAATAGGGCATACATTCTTACAAACCCTCTAATGTGGCTGAATTAAAATAATTCTCTAAAGAATAGTGGGCCAAAATTTCTCCAGTGACATGAAAAACTCACTGCCAGCCCTTGTACTATTGTGTCTGTTGATAAATGTCTGTTGTCTTCTTCTTCTTTAGGTGTAAACAGAGCAGTGGATCTCTGTGCAGCCCCTGGAAGTTGGAGTCAGGTTCTCAGCCGGAAACTCAGGTAACATGTTACTTATTTGAATATGCCAACATATAGTGAACATATCCTAGCTGAGCAAAAATGATTTGCATGGATGCAGTATATTACACTTTTATACAACAAATCTTTTTTTTTTTTTTTTTTTTTTTTTTTTAGAAATATACCATTAAAGAAATAACATGGGCCTTAGAGTTGAACTCTTATCCTATTCCTCTTTTTATAGCATATAAACTGCTGCAGGGGTGTATTCTCATATTTATATGGTGTTTTCACAATTTAATCCATTTCAATTGAACTCCGGTTCATTTTCCTACCTGGTGCAGTTCATTTGTGCAAGTGTGAACACAATATTCGTAATGAGATGCGGACCAAAACAACCCCACCAAGACAATTTGGAGGAGGTGGTCTCAGTACCATTACAAATAAACTCCAGAGCAGTTTGTTTATGTGTGAACCCGATCCAACTACGTCACGAGTTTGAGCTATAAAAAACCCCATCCCATAGCCATCCATGTATGCTTGTTTTCTCAGTGCAGATAGGTACTATAGATGTGCAAAGGACTGTACGGGCTAGCAACAAGCTCTGAAATGAAGGTAAATTCTGTGTTCTCCAATAAACCAGAACATAGCACCTTCTTCCTGTATTTACTTTTGTTGTACTTGCTCCAGACACATCTGGCTTATGAGCTGACTGAACATTCTCATGTTTTTTGTAGTGACGCATTTTAGATTTTCCTCAGTATGAAAACAAGCTAACCCACAGGAAAAAAACTACAAGTTTACAAACTCATCAACTGATTTGGATCAAATTAACAAACTATAGGTATGAAAACACCTATAGGATTAAAAAAGGTGCTGGAAATACCAGAATATCATGCTAAGAATAACACACCATCCTTATGCCACTCTTGCTGTTTCTGCACCAAGTGACCCCTAGACTGGCATCAGCTGTGGTTGTCTTTAAATCTAATCTAATCTTTTTGGAGCCGCCTTATTTCTATTATAAAGTATTTGGATTATGATATATTCATAAAATGTGTCTACTTACCAAAAAACTATTCTGTGCATTTTGTTTGTTTGATTGTTTTTATTAAAAGAGGGTGTGCGGAGAAAGTTGAAAAGGGTGAGAGCAGTGAGGAAGTGAAGATTGTGGCAGTGGACCTCCAGGCCATGGCTCCTCTGCCCGGAGTTACTCAAATCCAGGGAGACATCACCAAGGTAGGGACATAAGCACAATGATGTCAGTAATGACAGTAACTCAACTCGTAGGCGTGGAGGAGTGAAGACCTATGTCAACGTCTTTCTCCTAGGTGTCAACAGCTCAGGAAATAATTCGCCACTTTGAGGGTCAGCCGGCTGACCTGGTAGTGTGTGACGGAGCTCCAGATGGTGAGAGGCTTGCTTTCTGTCTGACGTCATTGGTTCTTAAGTCTCCTCTGTCCCCCTCTTGTTGTTCTTATTCTATTTCTTATGTTCTTTTCTTAGTAACTGGACTCCACGATGTGGATGAATACATCCAGGCTCAGCTCCTGTTAGCTGTGAGTACAGAGATGTGTTTGATTGCACTGTCAGATTTCTTGTGATGTCACGCTAACAGCTGTTTGTTTCTTAGGCTTTGAACATTACCACACATGTCCTGAAGCCTGGAGGAACGTTTGTGGCTAAGGTGAGCTCAGGATTTGTGGTAATTCATAAATGTACACTTATAACATTTGATGTTAAATAAATGAGTCCTGTCTGCCAGAGAGGTGACAGTCATTTAAAATCCATCCACCCATTCTCTTAAAGTCTCATGGACACTTCCCGTCCTTCTTTTCCTGCTGTCATTTATGACAGACTAGAACTTCAAACTATTGCCACAGCAGTAGTAGTGCTGTAGTGCAACAATAGTGACAGAGTATTATATGTCAAATGTATATATCAAAAGTATTGTACATCAAATGTGAGCACTAAAGCATCCAAGGTCCCATGAAATTTTAAGTATAACATAAGTGCATAACGTTTTGGTTTACTTAATAATGGATTGGATTTATATAGCGCTTTTCAAGGCACCCAAAGCGCTTTACAATGCCACTATTCATTCACTCTCACATTCACACACTGGTGGAGGCAGCTACAGTTGTAGCTGAAGCGAGGCTGCCATATCGCGCCATCGGCCCCTCTGGCCAACACCAGTAGGCGGTAGGTTAAGTGTCTTGGACACAACGACCAGGACAGAGAGTCCAGGGATCGAACCGGCGACCTTCCGGTTACAGATACGCTTCCCAACCCCCTGAGCCCTACTTAACAAGAAGTAAAACTTAGCTAAACTAACTAAACCTTGGAACTCTTCAGGAGGCGGCACAATAATGTTGCACGCTAAAACTGAAATTGAAAAATATTTTCTACCTGGGTTTGGTTGGCTTTCTTACACAGCTGCATAAAACCTTCCTTTTCCACCATTTGAATTAGCCCTGTTGTGGGTCCTGGGTTTCATGTCTCTTGTCAGATTGGCCTGTACTGACAGCCGGGCTTTTACTCTCTCTGACAGATTTTCAGAGGTAAAGATGTGACACTGCTGTACTCCCAGCTGAAGCTCTTCTTCGATGGTGTGACCTGCACCAAGCCTCGCAGCAGCAGGAACTCCAGCATCGGTGAGCCACCACAGTCATAACCCACTCGTATGGATCTAATAGAAGGAAAATCTCATCTCCATTTCATTTACTTATTTTATTATGAAATCCAAAGCAAAAAAAAATTATATTTGCTGGGGGTTTTATTACATGTTTCGGCAACACTCACACACAGACAGTGGGCTACACAAAATCTTATACTAATAATGAATGGCTGCCTGGTCTTATAAAATTGTTTGTAGATTCTCTCTGAGGAACTTTCTAATCCAGTATCCATTGTTTGATTTTACACACCCATTCCCATCTCAAACATTTGAATGACCTCTGTTGACATACTGCGTGAATGATCTGTCTTTCTGTGTACAGAGGCCTTCGTGGTCTGTCAGAATTACTCTCCTCCCAAAGGCTACATCCCCAACATGTCTAATCCTCTGCTGGATCACTCCTATGGTAATTATCAACCATTTAACCACATAAGTCTTTACTTTGCTATCTGAACTGGATCAGGAAACTGTACTTGGGTCAGAATTATCACCCTGTTCTGTAAACCAAGTCTAAATAATAGTTTTTAACCATGTAGTTTTAGTTGCAAGACAATAAGTTGTCTTAAAATTTACAGACGTAAATTACTAAGTGTGTAACATACATTGTATTGCCAAAAGTAATAGTTCATTTGCCTTTACACACATATGAACTAGACTGACATCCTATTCTTAATCCATAGTGTTTAATATATTGGTGGGCAACCCTTTGCAGCTATCACAGCTTTTGACTCTTCTTGGAAAGGTTTTCTACAATGATGAAAACAATACAATGATGAATGAAACAAATGGGCTGAGCCCAAGTCTTGAAAAACAACCCCACACCATAATCCCCCCTTTACTTTATACTTGGCACTCTGCAGTAAGAAAAGTACCGTTCCCATGGCAACCGCCAAACCCAGACTTCTCCATCAGATGGAGAAGTGTGATTTGTCACTTCAGAGACACCTCTGCACTGATCCAGTGAGTCCAGTGATGACATGCATTGTGCTTGGTGATGTAAAGCTTGGGTGCAGCTGCTCAGACATGCAAACCCATTCCATGAAACACTATTCACTGTTTATGAACTAATCTGAAGGCTACATGACGTTTAGAGGTCTGTAGCAAAAGTTGGCGACCATTGCGTACTATGCACCTCAGTATCAGCTGACCCTGCTCTGTCATTTTACATGGCTACTACTTCGTGGCTGTCCTTCCCAATCGTTTCCACTAGTTGGTATAACACCACTAACAGTTGACTGTGGAATATTTAGTAGTGAGAAAATTTCACACTGGACTTCCATCCTATCATGTAACACGCTGGAATTCACTGAGCTCCTCAGAGCAAGACGTTCCTTCAAACATGTTTGTAGAAGCAGTCTGCATGCCTAGGAGCTTGATTTTATACACTTGTGACCATGGAGTTGGTTGGAACACTTGAATTAAATTATATGGATAAGTGAGTGAGTACTTTTGGCAAAATAGTGTATGCTAACAATAATTTTGTGGCCACATTTGGTAATTCTTTTAAAAAAATACCCTGTGGAGTTTTCTTGCACATAAGCTAAAGTTATATTTAGTAAGTTTTATTCAAAGCTAAAGTTTAAATACTACATTGTTTGCATCTGTAGGTCCTGGAACGCGTTTCTTTTTCCTTGCTTGCACATTAAGCCAACACAAGCTAGTTACCAAACCATGGTGTATTGCATGAACAGAACCTCAGACTTTGCAGCACTGCATTACACATCTTTTGCTTCTTCCTTTGAATGTTGAATTAACTTTTGCAAAGTCTCTTTCTGCAGCATAAATTCACACCTATAAGTTTCTCTTCTGGTCTCTGTGCTTAAGATGTGGATTTTAACCAGTTAGAAGGTGCAAACCGTGTCATTGTCCCATTCCTGGCATGTGGTGACCTCAGTGCCTTTGACTCTGACAGAACCTACCCTTTGCAGGTGAGCTACTTTATCCTCTTGATCCTGATACAGAGTCAAACTTGCCAACCAAATTTAAAGTAGACATGAAACCGTATGTGTATAAAGGTTAATTTACACCATGGAGCCCTGCTCTCAAAAACTGACAGATATAACTCCGTCTGTGAAGCTGTATTTAAGATAGAAGTGCTTAAAGATTTTATAACATGTTTAGCGCCATCTTGTGCCAGTACGGAATGTGTCATCACTGGTTGGTTGGTTGAGGCTAATAGACACATTAGTTTGTGTTAGCTAACTAGTGACAGAACTGATAAATTTGTGGAAAGCACTAAACTACACTAAAACTAAAAATCAGTCTAAAGGGGGAGGGGGCCACTTTTGTGCGGTCTCTGGCAGCAACAATGAGTTTTATGTTAAAACTGAGGATATACTGTCCACTTTCACTCTGTTTCTTAAGCAATCAGTGGTTTGTTATTGTTTTGCTAGCTAATTGTGACATGGGAAAATCCAGCTGTTAGCTGTAATGTTCAGGTTTGTAAAGCACTTTATAAATGAAAACTGTGTGGAAGAGAGTGTGCTTGAGCCTGGTGACGGGTGGTTCACCGGCCCAACAAGCTGGAGTCAGAAGCTGATATTTCCTCCTCTGGCCGAGTGTACTGAGTGGGGAAATCAGCAGATGCAATAAGCTCTATTTTATGCAATAAAATCTTTCTTTTCCCAAGCACGTCCAGACAGTTTACAACATAGCAGCACACTACATGCACATCACACCACAAACGTAACTATGTTTCTTACCGAAGCACGATCGGGAATCCCATCAGCACGTCTGCAGGGAAAGTAGGTCAATGTGTATAATGACAGAAAATGACGTTAAACATGTTTTAATAACTTACATTTTTTTGAGCAGAGCTCCATGGTGTAAATTAGTCTTTATATGTGTAGTGTTTCATGTCCACTTTAATTAATGTATTTTGGAAAAAAATGTCTGTTTGAGTGTAATTTGTAATTTAACTTTTGTTTTTCTTGTGATGTCTTGGTTTATATTGCTTTATATTTTTTCACTCTAATATGGAATGCATAATTATTCCAATATCTTAATACTGAATTTTAATGGTTTAATAATAAATGAGTGAAATAGAATAGGGGGTGCAGTTTTGCTTGACTCACCGTTCAAAAATAATCCTTATTTACCTACATACATAAATACTGTTGTACAAATTGTCCAAAGAAATTAATGTATTTTTCTCCTTGCTGTCATTGTGTCCTGGCTGTTTCTTGCCTTTCCTCAGCTTGATGCTGGTAAAGAGTACCAGTATACGCCCCCTACTCAGCCACCCATACGTCCCCCATACCAGCAGGCCTGCCATCTCCGCAAAAAGAACCTGCTGTCCAGAGAGGATGCTCCATCAGTCTGTCCCACCCAGAGCCAAGATGAGCCAGAGCCAAACGCTGAATCAACCTGATCCAAATCAGTTATGTTCTTGGTGGTTTAAAGAAAAAAACAAACAAAAAACAAAATTGGCCAACACCCGGATACGGTGGATAGTTACTATTAAAAGAACTCTTTCCTGACAGATGAGAAGATGGCTAGCAGTTTAATTTCTACAAGGCCTGTAGTGGTATGTCTATCAACAAAGACACAGGAGGCTGTGGAGATGTATGTTTTTATTGGTTTGTATTTTGATGCAAAATTCTTTGAAACAAATGTTTTTATCCATTACTTTTAAATTAAGAAAAATGTTATCTTAAGCCAAACCAAGCACAGTCAATGTTATGTTGTTTTTTCCATGACTAATAATTGTTCAGTTGTCACACTATAATAAAATTGTATTAAAAAAAAGTGAAATAAAAGCACTCACTATGGTGATGTTTAGTATTTAATAATGCTACTCTTGCCAATAACCCCAAGGATTATCTACTTGGAACAGTAATAGTTTTAAAATATATACCTAATATAATCCGTAAGTCTCATAACATATGAGACTCACGGATGGTATTTTTAACTCACTGCTCAGCATTTATACTGGTGCAGTTTCTACTTATTATATTTTATTTTATATTAAAAAAAAAAAAAAAACACGAGACATTTTTTCAGGATCATAAAAATAGATCAATATATGGTTGACTGATATTGGCAGTGCCAGAAGTATACATAAAGGCTGTCAAAAATCATTTTATGCGAAAAGAAACTACCAGTAGTATATATTTGGGCCAGTATGTATACTTATGAATCCACATGGATTAGAGAAAATTCAAAATAAATTCAGATTCAGTCATAAAATATATATTAATATACATTAAATGTATATATTTAAAAGAAAAATAAAATTTACAATTACAAACACATATATGGCTCATAGTTTTATATTCCTTGAATCGTAATTTACCTTTTACTAAAGTCCAAAACGTCTTTCAGACGACCCCACAAGCGGTTAGCGCGTGTACCATATGGAAGCGATGCGGTCGGAAAGTCCATACCCTTTCGATCGGTCATCTGTTGGATGCCAGAACGACTTTAATGTTTTTAATAATCTTTGCGTATCGTATTTAGAGACCATATGCTCGTATTTAAATATGAAATGATAATAATAATAAATATATATAAACTTCCTGGTTTGCGTGGTGACGTCGCGGCATAGCGACTCACACAACCGCATTGTTGTGGGGGAAGAGGAGCTCAGGCAGCCGCTGAGCCCTGCCACTTCTTACTGCTTTTCCACAGTCCCAGCGATCGATTTTAAGCCTCATATCCTAGTATATCACTTGAAACCGCTCCCGTCGCCCTGGATACCTGTCGGTCACTTCTAAGGTTCACTCGGTTCAGCGCGAGCCGCGGTCGCCTTTGGATGACCAGACTGAATGTGGATTTAACTGCTGCTTCGCTCTGCAGGCCGCACCGCCATTGCTGCTGTTTTTATAAGCTTAATTCTTGAAAATAGCGAGGTAAGTTTTACCTCACTCTCGTTTTACCCGTTTAATGTTTTTCCCTGTACCCTGGATACATTTAAGTTAAAAACCAAACCGTGCTACTCATAGAAAAAGACAACTTTTTTAATTGAGGTAGTTTCTTGTGTTAGTCGCCATATTTCCTTCCTCTTCAAGTCCCTGTAGTAGCAGGCTAATGTTAGCCCGGTTTCTGGACGGACTAGCAACTAGAGAGGCCACCGCCTGTTTATTAAGGGGAACAACATGGTTGTCTTTTCTTGTAACCCGCCAGTGTTTGATTGGTCGTCCTAAAGCAGGTTCGAAACATAGCACGGATCACTGTCTAGACGGACTTACCGTACCTACCCGTACCGGACATGGATCTAGTAACAAGCTGCAGCTACATGGAGCCGCTGTTATTCAGGAAACAAACCACACAGGTTGCGCAGATCGGAGGCTCCTTGTCTTCGGCATTGCTGCTTCCTGCTCTCGATGCATTTCTTTCATTTGTCCAGTAAAGGTTGAAGGTACTGTTAGCGCAGCCGGCTGAAAGCGCATTGATCTCACGAGTTAAAGGTGCACCAGCACACGTTGGAGCACTATGTTCAAAGCTGCTAGCTTAACTTCACTTGCCCTGGTTTAAAAAATAAAATAAAGTGTGTCGCGAAGGTACAAATCTAAGTAATAGCGTTATTTGGGGGGAGTTGGATTTCAGGGAAATCGATATACATATGCAAACATGGCTGGAATAATTCATTTGACAATGGTTTACCTGGCCAATAATAGATAAGCTTGGAAAGTAGGTTTTGGTGGTTTTCTTCGTCTATGACATTTAACTATATCTTTCACGTTTTGGTTACAGAAAGATAGATCTTTTTAATGGTGTGTCAACTTTAGATTTGCTGAGAATTCATAAAGAGCACAAGAAATTAAAATCCAAGTAGCCCCAGTCCTGATCTGTTTTTCTGTCAATAGATCAGATTTACTGTAGGATTAAAATTTACGTCACAACTTTATTCTGGATCTCACATTAAGGTTTTTATTTAATATTTACTAATTAGCATTTTGGAGTATTTTGATATGATTCCCTAACTAATGTAATGAACAGAGTTTTGTTTAGCAACTTTAACATAGAACTCCTTTAATATAGTCAAAACAATTGCACCATCAGGATCAAAAGACAGCAGTCGGTCATTTAAATGTAGAAGGCTTACTACTACTTTAAATTAGGCTTGACAAAGAAGACACAAAATACAGAGGTGAAAACTTTGTTTCGGGACATTTTTTCCCTTATCTGTAAACAAGGGTTGGAAGATGTGACAGCAGCCAGTTGTGTACATGCAGACATGTACAGTGAAATCCATGACATGACAGCTTTCTCAGCAGCTGCTAGATCAGCGAGTTATTTATAATAATAATAATAACTTAGATTTGTGTAGCGCTTTTCAAGAAACCCAACGATGATTTACAAAAGAGTATACATTTTAAAACATATATTTACACATTTGTTTCATTGCTTGGGTTTTTTCAGGGTCCTCATAGCTCAAACATGAAGAAGAAAAGTCGAAACCAACGCCCAGCAGTGATTAAGAGAGAGACTTCTCCCATCAAGCCATCGCCCAACCGGGAGACACTGACATATGCACAAGCTCAGCGAATGGTGGAGTTGGAGGTGGATGGCCGTGTACACCGGCTCAGCATCTACGACAAGCTGGATGTCATCACAGACGATGACCCCACAGCTCAAGAGATCATGGAGTGTAACAGCAACAAGGAGAATAACGAGAAGCCCCAGCAGGTTCTGGTGCGCTCTGTCCGCCTCAAAAACAACCAGCAGAAGAAGAATGCAGCTCTCACCACCTCACATGGTGGTAGTGCCACCCACAGCAGTGCCAGTGGCCTATTGGAGCCGAAAGTTAGAACAGTTGAATACAATCTGCCAGTGGTACCGAAAAGGCCAGCAACCTACTACAAATACACTGAGAGGACGCCCGAGGAGCTGGATGAGGAGGTGGAGTATGACATGGATGAGGAAGACTATGCCTGGATGGAGATCATCAATGAGAAAAGAAAAAGTGAGGGCATAAGTCAAGTGTCACACAACCTGTTTGAGTTTCTCATGGATCGCTTTGAGAAAGAGTCATTCTTAGCCACGCAGGGTCAGAGTGACCTGCAGTCACTTGTGGATGAAGATGCTGTGTGCTGTATATGCATGGATGGAGATGGAGCTGACAGTAACGTCATCCTCTTCTGCGACTCCTGCAACATTGCCGTGCACCAGGAGTGCTACGGTGTGCCATACATCCCTGAAGGCCAGTGGCTTTGTCGCCACTGCCTCCAGTGTCCGACGCGACCGGCTGAGTGTGTTTTCTGCCCGAATCGAGGAGGAGCTCTGAAGAAGACAGATGATGACCGCTGGGGCCATGTAGCATGTGCCCTGTGGGTGCCCGAAGTTGGCTTCTCGGACACAGTTTTCATCGAGCCCATTGACGGTGTCCGCAACATCCCACCTGCTCGCTGGAAGCTTACTTGCTATCTGTGTAAGGAGAAAGGTGTCGGCGCGTGCATCCAGTGTGACAAGATCAACTGTTACACTGCCTTCCACGTTAGCTGCGCCCAGAAAGCTGGTCTCTGCATGAAGATGGAGCCCGTCAAAGAGGTGACTGCATCTGGTGCCACCACTTTCTCTGTGAAAAAGACTGCTTACTGTTGCAGCCACACACCTGAAGGCTGTGACCGCCGGCCACTCAACATCTATGAGGAGCCCCACCCTAAAAATGGAGCCTTTCACAAGCGAGCTGAAAAGAAAGGGAAGGCCAAGGGCTGGCAGAAGAAAAAGAATAAACGAGCAGACCCTGAACCAGAAACGGAACCTGAAACTCCAACCAGCTCTGGACCTAGCATTACTGCTTCAAGGTAACAGTCAGCCTTAGCTCACCAAATCAACACTCTCTATCCTTGGTCTTTTGTCCTCTTTATTTCATTTGAAATTATAATTTTTTTCTGCTTCTAATTTTAGTTGAGTGCTATCTAAGGTAGTGATTTTTAATACATACAGAAAACAGTAAAACTGTATGAATCTGGAAAAAATAAATATTAAAAGTTTAACTTGAGATAAGTGATATTTATCAGTAGTACTTCAAGAGAACTTTGCCAGCATTATTCCAATATAGTTGAGTTAAAGGTTTTTTCCACAGGTGTGTCAGCAGTGATGTTTATAAGAGATGAATACAAATACAAATACAAAGATATCTGATTGGTCAAAAATGACAAGCCAGAGATCTGACAGCTTTTTAGAGCTACGGAGAAAATATTATCAAAAATATTATTATTATTATTCACTGATTAATATTCCCCTTTTCTTCTATGTTGGGTTAGTTTTGATACCATCCTCAACCAGGTATCAGTTCAGAGGAAGCGTTCATTTGTTGAGGGGGTGCTGAGCTACTGGGTGCTGAAGAGGCAGTCAAGGAACAATGTGCCCCTAATCCGCCGGTTACAGGCCAACCCACAGCCACCCAAAGCCAAGAAGACGGTCAGTTCTGTTAACAGCTAGCAACCTCACACAGTAGGCTATTGTCCTTTTTAATGTAGTTCTTGTTATTAAGCTGATGCTTGTTTCCTGCAGGACCATATGGAGTCTAACCAGGCACTGAAGGAGCAGTTGAAAGAGTGGCACCGCCTCCGTCACGACCTGGAGCGAGCCCGCCTGTTGCTGGAGCTCATCAGGAAGAGAGAAAAACTGAAGAGGGAGGAGGTAAAACCCTTTCAGCATTTACTACTTCACGATTGTCTAGTGCAGAGCTTCATCATTTCTTTTCAGGACACATTGTTTATTCTCAAGTTAAAGCTAAATATTTTACTTTTCATTTACTACTCACTATTTTAATTATATTTGTTCTTGTTTAGTTAACTCATTACTACCCACAACATCCCAAATTCC